ATTTATTTGACAGAAAGACAGCGAGAGAGGGAACACAAACAAGGGGAGTGGGAGAGGGAGAAGCCAGGCTTCCCGCCGAGCAGGGAGCCCGATGCGGGGCTTGATCCCAGGACCCTGGGATCATGACCTGAGCCGAAGGCAGACGCTTAACGACTGAGCCACCCAGGTGTCCCAGGCACTTTCTTCTTCTAAGTCATTTTTTATTTTCTTAATTTATTTTTTGAAGATTTTATTTATTTGACAGAGAGAGCACAAGCAGAGGGAGAGAGAAGAAGCAGGCTCCCTCCTGAGCAAGGAACCCAATGTGGGACTAGATCCTAGGACCTTGGGATCATGACCTGGGCCGAAGGCAGCCGCTTAACCGAATGAGCCACCCAGGCATCCCTCTACGTCATTTTTTTTTAAAAATCATTTTCACTTAGTGATATCTATTAACATTTTACAAATAAATTATTTAAATGGGAAAAACCAGTACTATATTTGGGGTGAAAGGCACAACGTTATGATTACCATAATATAAATGATTTCAGATTCTAAGGTTAATCCAAAATTTGAAATGTTATTACCTAAAAAAAGCAGAAAACTTTAGAAGTCAAATAAATTATTTTAAAAATTATGTAAGAGCTGGGGGAAGAAGGGAATGGGCAGTTATTGTTTAATGCATACAGTTTCAGTTTTGCAAGATGAAGAGTTCTGGATGTGGACAGTGGTGATGTTGCACAACAATGTAAAAGTACTTAATAATCCTGAACTATACACTTAAAAATGTTTAAGATCATTAAATTTTATCTGTATTTTTAAATAAGAATTTTAAAAGTTATCTAAGAGTTATTAAAGCATCCTAGAGTGCATAAAAGTCATTATTACCTAAATAAGTGGTTATAAGTATTCATTTTCAGGGAAAAACTCAAATTGAGACAGAAACCCAATTAAAACATGGCTAAAAATATTAGAGGGGGGGAAAATGATCTGAAAAACAAAAATGTTAGCAACCATAAAAATCATTAAAAAAAAGTGTAACCTGTCATTTAAGTAATTTGATAGAAGGTAGCATGATGCTGTTTTGAACTTACAGAATGTGTTTTAAGGGAATTTATGTTGGTACATGTCTGAAAATTCTGTGAATTATCCAAACATTTTTACCTCTTCTCAGAGAGCCAGACATTGTATATGTTTCCTTCAGAACAGAGTGAGAAAAAAACCCAATAAACTACTAAAATCAATATAGCCCTTTGTCAGCAAGACTAAGTTAAAAAAAAGTTACCTCTAAGTATTACTTAAAACAGGATTCCCTGTCTGCCTGTAGATTTCTATTGCAGTATAGCTAGATAGCAGAGTTCTAATTCCAGCTTCAATATTCACTAGCTGTATAATCTTGGGCAAGTTTCTTAAATTCTGTGGCGTAGTTTATCTCTAAAATGGAGATAATAATTCTACCTACCTCATAGGTAGGATTGAGTAGATGTATATATATGTTCACATGCAAAAACACTTAACAGGCCTCATGCACAGTTAAGTACAATATATGTGTATATCACTATTATTATAGTGTCATTATCATTACTATTATCTATCCCACTGATTCCAGTTATAAACTAAAAGCTGGGGTCTTTCCAGAAAAATGCACACAAGAAAAAGATTTTGAACACAACTGCAAAGGGCCCAGATTCCATATTAGAGAATCCCTACCAAAGATGATTCACAAGCAACTTGGTTTACAGCAAAGTGGTTCTTAACCTCTCTTGTGCCATGGACCGCTTTAGCAGTCTAATCTATAGATCTCTTCTCAGAATGTTTTTTTAAATTTTTTATTTAGATTTTTTAAATTTATTTGACAGAGAGAGAGACAGCGAGAGAGTGAACACAAGCAGGGGGAGTGGAAGAGGGAGAAGCAGGCTTCCTACTGAGCAGGGAGCCTGAGGCGGGGCTCGATCCCAGGACCCCGGGATCATGACCTGAGCCAAAAGTCTTAGGTGGCTTAACGACTGAGCCACCCAGGCGCCCCTCAGAATGTTTTTAAATTTTGAAATGCACAGGATCACAAAATAAACCAATTATAGTTATCAAAATATTTTTAAATTTCTACTTTAGTAATAACTGTCCTTTTCTAATGCATTAAATAACAAGATTTTTAAACATATAACAAGGTATAATGAACATTAACAGTATTTCAAGATACCTGCAAAAACTGTAATATATGAAAATATTTCTCATGTTGAATCCAGTGCAATTTCAAGAATTTTCAATTCTCTTCAATTCTAGATTTTAATTAGAAGCTAGTCAGAATAAAGAGGCAATTTTTTTTCCCCTCAATGAAGTTCACAGACTTCATCAATTCTAACCAGAGACCCAGATTAAGAATTCTTAGCTTAGGGGAAAGTGCAAAAATAAATTCTGGAGCCAGAGACTTGTGTTCTACACGCCAGACTTCAGACTTTAGTCCCCACATTATTTGCAGCTGAATGACCTCAGGCATCAAACCATGAGCTTTGGTTCACTCATTTAGAATAATTTCTAAATCCTATAGGTTAGAGGCGCCTGGGTGGCTCATTTGTTAAGCGTCTGCCTTCGGCTCAGGTCATGGTCCCAGGGTCCTGGGATCCAGCCCCACACTGGGCTCTCTGCTAGGGGGTAAGCCTGCTTCTCCCTCTCCCACTCGCCCTGTTTGTGTTCCCTCTCTTGCCATGTCTCTGTCAAATAAATAAAATCTTAAAAAAATAAAGTAAATCCTATAGGTTATTCCTATAGTTCTAAGGATCAAATATTAGCTAACAAAATGCCACATAACCAGTGTGTTATTTTTTTTTTTTTTACTGATTTTAATACCATATATTCAGCCCCAAATGTTTAGTGACATTGTTAATTTTCAGTAACTCATTATAGGAGAAAAGTTAAAAACCACATACTGATTCACAAAGAAAATGATTAGTGGAAATATTAATTAACAGTTTAATAAAAGCCATGATTTGGCACTAGAATGACCTATATGTAAATACCAATTCCACTACTTTACTTCTAAGTTAACCTCTCCACCTCAGTTTTTCTCATCTGTAAAACACTGCAATGTTGTTTTAGAAACAAGAGAGGATCTAGCTTAAACACTCAATAAACGGAGCGATTATTAAAGTTCACATTTTAACAAAGCCAAAGGAATCAATTTGGAACTCAAAAGTATATTTTGGAATTCATGTTAATATGAATAAAACTTCGCATTCTCTTGCCCAGCAAAACACATCACACTTAAAATATGAAGCACGTGCATGGCATAACGTTCCTAATACAAACTGGCACTGTTTAAAATCATATCTGATTTCTTATCCTGCCGAAAAAAACCTACAATGAGGATAAAAAACGGTAAACAGAATGGGGTCAGTAATCTCAAATCTTTTCATGATTCACTTGGCAGTGTTCCAATGAATATTTATTACCAATATCGGACATACTCTAAGGTAGCTGGGTTTCTTTAAAACCCAATTTAAAGATCTCAAATTTATCAGTCTGTTAGATTAAAAAAAAATTAAAGCATGTACTTTATGCCGGAGTATTACGGAGTAAAATCCATCCCTCCCTCCTAGAGAGAGGGGAAAAAAAACCTGCCATAGACTGGTCCTGGCTTCTCGATCCATTATACAACCTGTAAATTCCTTCCCTCATTGAAAAGATTCTTTTTATGGGCATAGTTAACAAGTGCCAAGTTGCGAAGTTGCAGCTTTGCTGGTTTGACGTTTTCACAATTCAAGAACAATATGATCTGGAATCTACTCAAAGCATTAGCCAGGCAGTCAGCTGATGCTCACTGCACACCAGAGAAACAAATAAGAGAAACTAAACCTCGTATTTGTGTAAGGTAGGTATCCACTACCTTTAAAACTAAAATAGGCCAGCAGCACACGTTCCAGTTAAAATAAAAGTACTTCTACTGTTAAGTAATATTAAAAAAACAAAAAACAACCCGGCTTTCCTCGGACTAGGTTTCTCTCATTCTTGGAATTTTCCTCGTATAAGGGCTTTTACCCGTCCATAAAGCCAAACCCTCATCACGGAGCCACTGCCTGAGTAACTTTTACAAAAGGTCAAAGCGGTGTCTTTCAAGGCTTCCAAAGCCTATTGGCGTCTCCTCCGTTCACAGTAATTCGCTTTCCACCCACAGAACGTTCCAGAGACTTAGGGACGGGGACCAAACAAAATCTGGTGGGGGTTGCTAAAAAACAGCTTTCAACTTTCTCTTCAACACTTATACAGAATTTCACCTTCCTTCCTCCGCAGCCCCACATGTTGCTTGCTTCCCAGAGGGCCCCGCGAGACCTCGCTCCTCCACCAGCACCCCCGCCCAACGCGCCCACCTGATTACCCTTTTCTCTGCAGACTCCGCCCCCGCCCTGCTCCCCCCCCCCCCCCCCCCCCCGGACTGTGTGCCTCCTCTAGGAGGTCCATATGGGACACTTTCCCCTTCCTGATTCGCACCTCACACCAGACAAGCCTGGATTCTCCACCTTCAATTCTCCCCCACTACGGCCCTCACTTCCCACAGGTTCCTAAAGTATTGTGAGAGCGCACAGTGGAGCCGCGGGCCTGCACGGCCCAGGTGCTGTGTCAGCCTATCTGCCGGTTCCGCGGCGTGTACGGCCTGGAAAGTCACATGGCGGTGGGACCGGCCGGCGCCTCCACTCCTCTTCTCACAGCAGGACGACATTACCAAGTCCACTCACCTCCACGAAGAGCAACATGTCTTCCTCCGCTCAGCCCAATCGTTCTCGCCGCCGCGACTCCAACGGGCTTACAGGCCCGAGCCCCAATTGCTAGGATAAGGACACTCGCCTGGCCCCTCCACCCGGCAGTGGACCCGGCTCCTCCCCCGCCGTCAGCCGCTGCGGCCTGACCCGCCCAGTCCCACCTCCCTTGAAAGAGCAACTGCTTCCGGTTCTAGAGAACAATTGCTTCCGGGAGAAGAGAAACCCCTCGGCGCGCTCAACTTTTGCGCTACCTTTTCCAGCGGCAGCATGGAAGGTACTACCATCGGTCCTGGGGGGAGGAGGGAAGCTATCAGAGGAAAGCACCATTCTGTATCACGGGGGTGTGCAAAAATCTTATTGACGCATTTTATCCCTCGCCAAACGGCGGGCTACCACTGCTATAATTACGCAGTTTTCATAGTTCAAAATCTAGATCTGATGAAAAGCCGAGCTTGTGTGAAGTGTACTGGACAGACGCCCAATCCTTCCGAAAATTTGGCAGCTCGGAGAAGAAAAGTAGAGAAGAAAAAAAGCGAGTAGCATTTAGAGTAAATATATTAATAGCAGCTGCTGTATATTGAATGCTTACTATGTGCCTGGCATTATTCTAAGTATTTTATGAGAATTAATCTTTTAAAATTAATCTTTTAAAAAACGCATGCAATACATACTATGCTCATTTTACAGTTGAAGGAGCTCTCTAGAAGTGCGGGTTTCCCTTTAAAACGCCTTTAAAGAACTTTGCCCTGTGTTCGCTTAAATCAGGGACCCACATCTAAGCTACTTAATATGGATAGCCTCATCGTTGATGTTGTCACTGTCACTTCAAATGAAGTACAATAAAAAAATTTTTTTAAATGGTCTTTATACTTTTCTGTTAGATGATCCAAATTCCTTATTATCTTCAGCAATACCTACCTAGTAAGCTTTATCCTTCCCTATCAGTCCCACTGCTATATCCTAGTTCAGACACTTATCTTTTGAAATAATTATGTCTTGATCTTTTCCACTGATTTTTCCCATTCTATTATTTCAAAAATCTTTCTAAATTAAAGGTTTCATTTTCACCAAACTTTCTTGCTTTCAAGACCTTACCATTCTGATCCCATGTAATCTCCCTTACTTTATCTCTAATGAATCTACTCACTTTTTTACTTGAATATCAAATTAATTTCTCCATCAAATTCCTGATATTTGTGTTCCATCCTCTCCCTAATCTGATCTACAGTAGACAACATTACTTCATCTCAGTTAAACCAGTCTCCTCACCTTTCCCCTGAAAGACAAAACTCAACACTCACCTCCAAAGCCATGGTTCAAGGTGTCTTCACTATCTGGAATGCCTTCATTTGTCAATCAACCTTCTCTCTCCATAGGGTTTTCCCAAAGACACTGCTCCCCACAGATTTCTTCTTCATGTCCCTTATTAGCACTTGAATAGTCTATCTTAAATTATTTTCTTTTTTTTTCGTTTTTTAGTTTCTTCACTGGTGCCCTATAGTATATTCTTCACATTCTAAGATAATGGTGGCCACATAGTTGTAGTATCACTTGACAAATGCTTGCCAAATTGAAAGGTAAGGAGGGAGCTTTTAAATTTTGCTTTAAAAAGCCTTCATTTCCAGTTGCTGATGAATCCCATGCTGCATAAAAAATATGAGAGAGGGAGAGAGCACAATAATGCTAAATTAGTTTATTTGACAAGCATGCAGGCTGCTTTGTGAATGCCTACTGGCATAAGCAATGTAAAAAAAAATCAAGAGAAATGAAAGTTATTTAAGGATCTTACAATCTAATATTATCAACAAAGTACTTAAACAGATTAATTGATAAGTTCAAGAAATGCTGGATAATGATGGATATTTTAATCAAACTTAACATTTACCAAAATAATTCTTAATTGTGGTCCTTTCAGAAAACATTTTTAACTTCCTTGAATGGACTTAATTGTGATTTGTAGAAAAGGAGGGAGTAATTTTTATGACTGGGTGTGAGGGGACGCAATTAACAAAAGAAAGTATTCTGGGGCTTAGAACTAAGTTTCCATAGGAATTGAGTCTGAAACGATAATGAATATACAAATTTTAGAAAATTTCTGAGGAGGAACTGAGGAAGAATATGTCAAAGGTTTAAAACAAACAAAACCCCTAAAACACAGCCTCTGGTTTTGAGAAGTTCACCAACTAATGGACAGAGACAAATAATAGTTACATTCCAATGAGATAGGTACTATAATAGTTTACAAAGTGTTTTGGGAACACAGAGGAGGGGTTAATTTAGACAATGGGATATTAGAAGGGAGAATATTTAATTTGCTCTCTCTATATTGATTCATTTCTTAAAAGACAACTACTTTATGTTCCCCTGTCTCCCATTCTCTGAAGGACTCAAATACATAAATTGTTTAACTTCACAAGTTTACAGCAAGGACTCAACATAGGAAGTTGTATAAAGTCAAAAACCTAAAAGATGATATTATGTAGTTTGTGAATACATGCACCTGTAGTAAAACTATATAAACAGAGACTAGACATAAATACATCAAATTCATGACTGTCATTGTCTCTGTAAGGGGACAGAGGAGAAGGAAGGAGTCTAGGGAGAACACCAAAAGGGACTCCAACTTTATCTCTAATGCTTTGTTTTATTTAAAAATTTCTGAAGCAGGGGCGCCTGGATGGCTCAGTCAGTGAAGCTGCTGCCTTCGGCTCAGGTCATCATCTCGGGATCCTGAGATTGAGCCCTGCATGGGGCTTCCCAGCTCAGTAAGGAGTCTGTTTCTCCCTCTCCCTCTGACCCTTCCCTCTGCTCGTGCTCATGCTCTCGCGCATGCTCTCTCTCAAATGAATAAATTTTTAAAAAAATCTTAAAAATTTCTGAAGCAAATATGACAAAATGTTAATATTTGTTGATTCTATGTAATAGGCACATGGCTATCTGTTACATTACTTTCTGTACTGTTTCATATTTTTTAATAAATAAAAAAGCTACACAGCTAACAAAACTACCCTGTCCTTTAATTGCTCCAGTGTCTTAAATCCTTTCACCTCCTCTGCAATCAAAGGAGCTGCCCAGAGTACTCCTCTCAGTAACAAAGCAGCGTCCAGTTTTCCCTTCAATTTCTCCAGCCAGCTATGGAATTTCAAAACCTTCTTCAGTCACGTTCCTTGGAAAAATGAATAACTAGGCAGTACAAAGAGTGTGATCTTCATCCAAATAATAGTTTCCAAATTATTGCATGTCTAGGACAAGTTGAGGGGCAGCTGAGGACCTTGTAACACAACTAGTCAATTACAGGTTTAAAAATTTTTAAGCAAAACCTCAGAAGAGAGAAGAATCAGGAGTTACATTTGATATACTGGATCTTGAATTCTAACACCTAGATTATAAGCTTATTTAAGCAAGGCTATATCTTCTATTTCTTTTAGCGTTCCTGTTGTCTATTTCCTACCCTCCCTCCCCCCTTCCATCACAGCATATAGAGAGAATGCCTGGGTTCTCTGCATATAGTAAGCACTCTAGAGATGTTTGAGTCACTGATGTCACAATGGATCTACTATGACATCACCAGGACTGCAATACCATGGTTAGCAACAAATTAGGGTAAACCACAACCTCTGGGAGCAGAAAGACCTCTTCTAGCTTGCTTGTGGACACCTTTATTAGCATTTGCCTATATTCTGTAAAAAAAGAAGAAATAAAAGAAAATCACTCAACTTTTCAAAGTATTTATCAAAATGCCAAGTGGGATAGACAGCGAATCTGAATCAGAAAAAGAAGTTGAAGATTCCACCCTCATGTCCAGAAAAGCCCTTTATAAATCAGGGGTCCCTCAGCTGGAGATCCCATTTGCAGTACAGAATGTCATCTCTAGGATTGAGCAAGCACAGCTTTATCGAGCCAGAGAGGTAGGTCGTCAATGAGAAGTTTACAGATTACAACTGTTTTTTTAACATTTTAACTTCAATGATAAGCTACATTTTTTGAACTCATTTTATTTTCATGATCTTTGACTGTGTTTGAGGTAACTTTAATTTCAAATGACAATTTCACCTGACTCTGTGGATAACATCCTCCAATTTAGTCTCTTTTACTTTCCTATCAGAATTAAATAAGCCTTTTAAGAAATAAATCACATGTGCTATTGAGTGATTGGGATAGAAAGAAAAATAAAAATCTATAGCTAATATTGATACCTAATTTCAGTCAACAGTTTTCATTCGTTCTCAACTAAACTTTTATCAAATAGCTTTAACATGAAGAAATATAGTTTGGTTTGAATTCCAGCTCTGGAAGGGGGATTTATTGGCCAGTAGAAACCTGAGGACAATGAACAAAAGCTTGAATAATACAACAATCCAATAAACTCCAAACAATTAAGGGTATACTGCGTTCTGTTCTCTCAGAATACAACAAAATCAGTCAGGTTAAAAGAAATTAATTCAAGTAAGTTTTTTCCTATGTTTAAGGAGTGCTAAATATTTGTACTTTCTCATTCTCCAAATAAACTTACTCCTGCTCCAACTCCCCACAACTAACAACAATAACCTGGTGTTTGCTTTTAACACCTTTATTGAGGTATAACTGACACATAATAAGCTGTATATGTTTTTTTTTTTTAAAGAAAGACAGAAGTCTGTTTTTTTTTTTTAATATTTTATTTATTTATTCATGAGAGACAGAGGGAGAGAGAGAGGGAGAGAGAAAGAGAGAGAGAGAGAAGCAGGCTCCCAAGGAGCAGGGAGCCCGATGCGGGACTCGATCCCAGGACCCCGGGATCATGACCTGAGCCGAAGGCAGACGCTTAACAATATGAGCCACCCAGGCGCCCTAAGCTGTATATGTTTTTAAGCATACAAGTTTTGATATATATAAACACCTGTGAAAACCTCATCTCAATCAACATAATGAACTTACCCGTCACCCCAAAAGTTTCCTTACGCTTAGTTACAGTTCCTCCCACATGCCCTTCCCGACTCCCCCACCCCAATCTCTAGGCAACTGCCAATCTGCTTTTTCTGTCTCTATAGATTATTTTGCATTTTAAAATAATTTTATATAAGTGGAATCATACAGCATCCACTTTCAAGTAAATAAAATCTTTAAAAAAAGATTCTTACTCCCTCACCCTCTGCCCCCCCAAAATTTAATTGGCTATGAATATTTGTATATTTATTCATGACATTTTATAAACATATTTATATAAACATTTCATTTCTTTAGGATAAATACTTAGGTTGGAATGGCTGGGTCACATGGTATATAAATGTTCAATTTTTTAAAAACTACCAAAATTTGGGGCGCCTGCGGTCATGATCCCAGGGTCCTGGGATCGAGCCCCACATCGGGCTCCCTGCTCAGCGGGAAGCCTGCTTCTCCCTCTCCCACTCCCCCTGCTTGTGTTCCCTCTCTCGCTGTGTCTCTCTCTGTCAAATAAATAAAATCTTTAAAAAAAACAAAACTACCAAACTTTTAAAAAGTGGTTATATGTCTGTTGGCCATCTGGATGTCTTCTTTGGAAAAATGTCTATTCAGGTCTTCTGCCCATTTTTAAACTGGATTATTTTTTGGGGGGGTGTTGAGTTTTATAAGTTATTTATATATTTTGGATACTAATCTTTTATCAGATATGTCATTTGCAAATATCTTCTCCCATTCTGTAGGTTGCCTTTTAGTTTTTTTGATTGTTTCCTTTGCTGTGCAGAGCTTTTTATTTTGGGGCTCCTAGGTGGCTCAGTCCTTAGGCGTCTGCCTTCGGCTCAGGTCATGATCCCGGGGTCCTGGGATCGAGCCCCACATCGGGCTCCCTGCTCGGCGGGAAGCCTGCTTGTGTTCCCTCTCTTGCTGTCTCTCTGTCAAATAAATAAATAAATAAAATCTTTAAAAAAAGCTTTTTATTTTGATAAAGTCCCAATACCTTATTTTTGCTTTTGGTTCCCTTAGCTCAGGAGACTTATGTCAAAGAGGTTGCTACCTGTGTTCTCCTCTAGGATTTTAATGGATTCCTGTCTCACATTGAGGTCTTTCATCCATTTTGAATTTATTTTTGTATATGGTATATGAAAGGGGTCCAGTTTCATTCTTTTGCATGTTGCTGTCCAGTTTTCCCAACACCATTTATTGAAGAGACTATCTTTTCTCTATTGGATATTCTTTCCTGCTTTGTCGAAGATTAATTGACCATATAGTTGTGGGTTCATTTCTGGGTTTTCTATTTTGTTCCATTGAACTATATGTCTATTTTTGTGCCAATACCATCATCAGGGAAATACAAATCAAAACTACAATGAGATATCACCTCACACCTGTCAGAATGGCTAAAATTAAGAAGGAACACAGGAAATAACAGGTGTTGGCAAGGTTGCTGAGAAAGAGGAAAACTCTCACACTGTTGGTGGGAATACAAACTGGTGCAGCCACTCTGGAAAATAGTATGGAGGTGCCTCAAAAAGTTAAAAATTGAACAATCCTATGACCCAGCAACTGCACTCCTAGGTATTTACCCAAAGGATACAAAAATACTGATTTGAAGGGATACATGCACGCCTATATTTATAGCAGCATTATCAACAATAGCCAAATTATGGAAAGAGTCCAAATGTCCATCAACTGATGAATGGATAAAGAAGATGTGGTATACACATACAATGGAATATTACTCAGCCATAAAAAAGAATGAAATCTTGCATTTGTAACGATGTGGCTGGAGCTAGAGAGTAGTATGCTAAGGGATATAAATCAGTCAGAGAAAGACAAATACCATTTGATTTCACTCATACGTGGAATTTAAGAAACAAAACAAATGAACATGGTTGGGAGTGGGGAAGAGAGGCAAACAAGTAACTGACTCTTAACTATAGAGAACAAACTGATGGTTACCAGAGGGGAGGTGGGTGGGAGGATGGGTTAAATAGAGAAAGGGAATAAGGAGTGCACTTGTGAGGAGCACCGGGTGTTTTGTGGAAGTGTGGAATGACAATATTGTACACCTGAAAATAATATTACACTGTATGTTAACTAACTGGAATTTAGTTAAATTAAACTTTTTAAAAAGTGGTTATACTATTTTATATTCCCACAAGCCATATATGAGATTTGCAATTGCTCCATATCTTTATCAACACTTGATGTTGTCGGTCTTTTTAATTTTAACCATTCCAAAAGGTATACAATAGTATCTATCTCATTGTGGTTTTAATTTGCAGTTTCATAATGACTAATGATTTTGAGCAACTTTCCACAAGTTTATTTGCACTCGGTATGTCTTCTTTGGTAGTTCAAATATTTTGACCATATTTTAAAAGCTTATTAGTCTAGGTTCTTATTATTGAGTTTTGAGTATTTTTGTGTATTTTGATTGCAACTTTTATCAGATAAGTGATTTGCAAATATTTGTTCCCATTCTGTGGCTTGTCTTTTTCTACTAATTGTGTCTTTCAAAGAACAAAACTCCTTAGTCCAATTTATCAATGTTTTCTTTCTTTCAAAGCAAACTTTCACTAACCCAAGGTCTCAAACATTTTCTCCTATGTATTCTTCTAGGAATTTTACATTTAGGTCTATGGTTCATTTTGTCTTAATCTTTGTATATTATACCAGATATTGATTGAGATATTGCGGGGTTTTTTAGACAATTATTCTAAATCCATTTGTTGAAAAGACTATCCCTTCTCCATTGCATTGCATTGCACCTTTATTGAAAATTAATTAACCATATATGTATGAATTTATGGACTCTCTAGTCTGTTCTCTTGATCTATTTATCTATGTTTATGCTAATACTACAATGTCTTTTTTTTTAAAGAGATCTTTTTTTTTTTAAGATTTTATTTATTTATTTGAGAGAGAGAGAATGAGAGATAGAGAGCACGAGAGGGAAGAGGGTCAGAGGGAGAAGCAGACTCCCCGCTGAGCAGGGAGCCCGATGTGGGACTCGATCCCGGGACTCCAGGATCATGCCCTGAGCTGAAGGCAGTCGCTTAACCAACTGAGCCACCCAGGCGCCCCTACAATGTCCTGATTACTGAGGGTTTTTTGGTCTTTTTTTTATTACTGAGATTTTATGATAATTCTTGAAATCATAAACTTTTAGTTCTCCAACTTTGTTCTTTTTCAACTATGCCCAACTTCTCTCACATCTTCCTTTTTCCCTCATTTCCTCTTCTTGGGCTTCTTTCTCTGGTGTGACACACTCAAACACTCATAACCTAAAAACTGTCTCTATCCACACTGCTTTCTCCCTTTGCATTTCCATATAAAATTTAGAATCAGTCTGTCAAATTTTACTGGGGGAAAAAGCCTGCTGGTATAGATCAATTTGGGGAGAATTGAGAACTTAATTTTGAGTCTTCTGACCTGTGAAGACAGCATATGTCTGTTTTTATTTAGGTCTAATTTTTTCTCAGAAGTGCTAGGCCTTGCATGTCTTTTGTTAGATTTGTCCCTAAGTATTTCATATTTTTTTGCTTTTTAATTTCCATTCTCAATTGTTCACAACTAATATATAGAAATACAATAGATTTTTGTGTGTTCATCTTGTATAATAAAACCTAGTTATTAGTCCTCAGAGATTTTCTTCATACTTTCTTTGGGATTTTCTATATAGACAGCAATCTATCTAATCACTTCTATTCAACTTTATACTGGAGTTCCTTGACTACTCAATAAATTAAAAAGAAAGTTTATTTATTTTCCTCCCTCCCCCCAAAAACGAATTTGAAATGCACACAGATATGAAAAGGGGAATCAAACTGCCTCTTTTATCAATTTTATTGTTATTTTCAAAGAACCAACTTTTTTTATTTTTTATTTTTTTTTATTTTTTTATTTTTTAAAGATTTTATTTATTTTGACAGAGAGAGACAGAGAGAGAGGGAACACAAGCAGGGGGAGTGGGAGAGGGAGAAGC